GACGGCCGTATCTCAGTGTGCCCGCTCGCATATTGATTTTATTCAATGGCCGAACTATCCGAGGTTTAGACTGTGCCTTTCTTGTTTAAAATGACGTGCATTTCAAGGGTTATCGATAGGCACTAAGTTCATACAAGGAGCTTTGGCGCGTGAATACGGTTTTGTATGTCGTTATACTAATGAGGACTAGGATCAGACAGTCTGTTACAAATTGCGACTATTTTCAGCGACGTTATGTGTTTATATCAAGGTTAAGAAAGCTTTTATTTACTGAGAGAAAGCTTTGTAAGAATATAAATGGTTTTTGAGCGGAATTATGGATGATTTCACTTGCCCCAGTCTGTGGCATTTAACGCTTTCAGTGTTTTTGGTATCCCTACTGGGGATACCCAAAACACTAGGGATTTGGGTACGGGGGTACCCGAAACACGGGGATACCCAAATCACTGTGACACCGACAATGTCGGTTGTTACGTTTTTCGCGCAAGACTTCAATATCAGGCCCCGAACATGACACCTACAATCTCAGACCCCACGCTTTTCGTGCGAGCTTACAATATCAGGCCCCGACAGTGTCAGACCCCACGCTTTTCGCGCGAGACTTCAATATCAGACCCCGAACATGACACCCACAATCTCAGACCCAACGCTTTTCGTGCGAGCTTACAATGTCAGTCCCCGACAATGTCAGACCCCACGCTTTTCGCGCGAGACTACAATATCAGGTCCCGAACATGACACCCGCAATCTCAGACCCCACGCTTTTCGTGCGCGACTACAACAATAGCTAACAATGATCAGAAACCCTCGAACCTTCGCCAAAGATTCATTTTTCGAGCAATCTCTCAGCCGCGCACATTTATGAGCCGACATACCAGCCGCCTGAAGGGGTTTATTTATTTGATTTAGGAGAGGCCAAACGTGAAACTTCATTTTAAAATTTCAGTCAACGACATGTATTTACGTGGAATAAATTTGTCATTCAATGGGAGTCCATACCCTCTGGTTGCAAGTAGACGACTTATTTTCACCCATACGACATTGCTTAAACCGATATTTGAAAATAGTGAAAGAGGCCTTCCAGTGCTGTCGATGAATACGACTATAAAAATTTCGGGCGTGAAATTATACAAATATCCCAATAAAGAAATGCTATAAAATCACCTTTAATATGCTTGATCTTTATCAACGTGTTATACACTTCTCGTCGGTCTACCTTATTGCATAGAAAAGCTTCGGTACATTGAACGAGTAATATGCGAGTGTGAGGATTGCGTGACTACATGAAGCAATCGACATGATACCAATCTGTCAGTGAAGTCTGCTAATAAACAAAGGCATTTTGAGGTCAACAAAAATTTCAAGACGCTGGCTGCGTGACTTGAAACAAAGTACATTGGGACGGATGCTTGCTTCAAAAATATATTTTAAAAGTGTTTATAATTTATATATTTCCTAAAAAATAGTACCAGAATACGGTAATAAGAAACGCGATGCTGTGAAGTCTATAGGCTAGAAAGGAAGTTGCAACAATGGCGACTTTCTCTTCCAGTGAACTTGCAGTTTGTTATTCGTAATAGCCATATTTCATAATAATTTCAGTGCACTACTGAAGAATTACTGTATTACTTAGCACAACAGTTAACATAAAGTTAAGCCCGACACATAAAACAGTCAAACCAGACTGATATGGTCGGGGTCTGATATGGTACGTTGGGGTCTAATATGGTAGGTCAGGGTCTTGTATTGTATGTTGGGGTCTGATATGGGGGGCCTGATATGGTAGGCCATGTTCCAACTCTAATAGCACTGATCAGCCCCAATTTTTTGACGTTACTTTCGGGGGGTTGTTACTTTTGGAAGTTTACGGTAGTTGTTAACTAAACTGTTCTTTATCATTTTTTAAAATATTTTCATTCAAAATTTGACAGGAATTCTTGGATTCTTCAGCAAAAGAGCTCTTTCATCCCTCCCTGAGAGTCATTCCAAGCCAGTGAACATTGTTCACTCAGACATGAAGGTTCACATACTTCCTGCACTTTCTGATAACTACATGTATCTTGTTGTTGATGAGAAAACACAGGAAGCAGCCATCATAGATCCAGTGGAACCTAAAAAGGTAGACTAAACATAACACGGTGTACTTTACTGATTATTGTACATCTATTGACTGTGCTGACAATCTGTTGCCTGATATTGTAATCCCCATGCTAGGTCATAGGTTCAACCATAAGACATTACTGCTACCTAGTACTTACAAATTTTGCGATGTATGTGATATCAAATTGTTGTTAGGTCGTTGAGGCTGTAAAAAATCACGGAGTAAAGCTTACAACAGTGCTAACTACTCATCATCATTGGTAAGTCTTCACAAACTTAGTCTTTATTAACAAGATTTGGACTGTGAAGGATCCATTCAAAATTCTGGCCAAACTGGGAGTCACACTCAAAAATTCAGATTTGTTGTGCAAGTAATGACATTTGCTTTTCCAGTTGTGAAGTGCAGTTCTCAGTGAAGCAATTTAAACTCACCCTGCTACCATTTTCTCACTATCTGTTGATGGACATTCAGTCAATCTACTTTCTCCCTCTTCAACACCAATGAAAGTGGTTTTTTATCATTTTTCATTTTACACAAGGGAAATGAAATCTGGAATTGGAAAGAACTTAAATGGAACTTGGCAACTTGCTTGACTAATGAACAAATTGAATTGAAAGCTGCAAATTGTTTCCAGCAAATTGTCAATCTGTTTTGGAACATTGCACCACATTACAGAATTCCAGTTTGTCTGCACCATGTGACTGAAAATAAGTCCTTATGTTATTAGGGATCATGCAGGTGGTAATGAAGAATTAGCTCAACTAGTTAAGGGACTGACAGTGTGTGGAGGTGATGACAGAATTGGTGCACTAAACAAAAAAGTTGGACACAGAGACCAAATGAAGGTACTTTACAGCTATAAATTTGAAATTCCTGTCAGAAACCACCAAACTTGAGATTAAATATATTTTTAAAAAATTTGTCATCATCATGTGTCATGCCTGGGAGGTCAATATGTTTGACTATTGTCCTTGATGTGTTAATGGTGTTCTCAGTTGGAATCTTGCTCTTGCAATGGCTTCTCTCTACCCTGGCTGGTTTAATAATACCAGAAATCAGATGGCTAGCCCGAGGCCTGCTTATTACAAATGAACTTGAATTTTGTTTAAGGTTGGAAACCTTGATGTACAGTGTCTTTTTACACCTTGTCATACTAGTGGTCATATCTGCTATGTGGTCAGTGGTCAGCCAAGTGCAGTATTCACAGGTAGGAGACTCCTGATTGACTTGTTAGTAAGTAGGGAGGCAGGCAGTAAGGAAAGTATTCTAAGTAGGTACATGTAGGTACATGTATGTAGGAGGTGCATCAGTCAGTCAGTCAGTCAGGCAGGCAGGCAGGCATGCTTTATAGATCCTAGAGTATGCCATGAGAAACCTCACCAAATCGCCAGCCTAACACATTTTCAGACAGATGTTGCATTTCACTTTCAGGTGACACACTTTTTGTAGCCGGATGTGGAAAATTCTTTGAAGGGCGTCCTCCAGAAATGTACAAGGCCTTGATTGACATTCTTGGTAAACTACCACATGATACTGTGAGTATTTAACTGTCAATTAACACTTTAAAAGTAAATGTACTGTTAAGATTACCAAGTGATGTTCTAAGTACAGTATGTGGGAATAATCCGGTGACATCATTGGGGTGTGTCCTACACGATATCAGCAAGAATTTTGTCTTACTGACAGGGAAACTTTTCATTACAATATTTAGTTTGTGAAACAATGAATCATTCTGGCTTGTTTGCATACAGAACCTTTATAGCTGTGTTAAGCGTGGCCATTATAATTATTACAATTATTATTAGTAATCATATTGTCTCTGCAGTTGCATTCTTTAATAAAATAATGTGTACATTACTAGACAATTTATTTGTGTTTGTCCTTTGTTCCAGCTTGTTTATTGTGGACATGAGTACACTGAAAACAATCTTAAGTATGCAGTTCATGTGGAG